TTTCCAGAAACCATTACATAAACAAAAATATATATTAATTCTGAGCATAGTATATTCATAGTAAAGGATAGCCATTTAAATCACCTTTAAAAATGAGGTACGTAAACTGGATAACTAAATATTTTCTTGTGTTGTGAGCTTACTGTTCCAGCTGCTAACAATCTCATTCCATTTAAATTATTTTTCACAACTTACTAGCAGAGTGCTCAGCCCATAATAGGTGCCTAATGAATAAATGATATTTAACCAGAAATTAGAAAGAATAAAAAACAACTTCTTTGTCCAACAGGGTCAGGGTCAGTTTCTCTACTGTCCTCACAGTACATGCAACAGTACATGCTGTAGGTGATGATTAGTATTTATTAGTGAACCAAGACCTTAAAGTAATACTTTGAGTATCAGAAGAGAGATGAGTATTGGATGGGGAAAACACAACAAACAAGAGTTTCCTGGGATCGGTGATTCTCATATGATTAGCCCACTTATCACTTGGAGAAAGAAACGTGAAAACTGTTATATGTTTTAAAAGTTTCCATTTAACATCAAAAATAAAACTGTCTACCAAGCAAATTTTGTGAGTTGAGACTTTGGGCTATGTACTAACCTACAGTCTGATTAGTGGCTATAATTCTTTATTGCCTTACCTTTGCTTAGTCAACATATATCAAATACCTACTATGTGCTGACCATGACCCTTACTACAGAGAATTTATGGTCCAATGGGAAAAAGGGACATGCAACCACTCATTTTGACACTCTATCCTGAATACTCCAAAATAATATATATAAGAAATATAATATCAGTCCACTATATAATGATTAGGGACAAAAACAAGAAAGAAAGAAAAATAGCCTGCATGTTGGGCAGGGTCCATTTATTTCTTATTTTCAAGGTATAAGCAACAATCTATGTATATAAAACACATTATTACAAAATAGTATTGGGAAATACTTTTGACAATTGTTTTCAAACATAGCTGAACTAGAGTACTGTTAGCATAGCAGAGCCTATCTGTATTCATAATGTCAAATACACCCTGACCCTTTGCTGGAAATACTCTGAAACAGTTCCATTTAGGAAGGCTTTAGAGTCCTGCATTATTTATAGGAATGTGCTTAGTGAATCCATGTTGATTCTGTGCATCTGTCAAGATAACATATAAATAAATACACAGATTTTCAACGTGGCAGGAAGTGTGGCTTAATTGGAAAGGATGTAGATTTGCAGTCAGGCGGATTGTGTTAAAACTTGGATTTTCTAGTTAGACATGTTACTTAACCTCCTGGCAGGCTGTTTTTTTTCTCTAAAACAAATATATATATTTTTATATATTATATTACATTATAATATTATATATATATATAATGTATCTTTCATGTTGCCTAGCATACAAGGCACTCCAGACATTAAATCCTTTTCCCATTTGCCTTCCCTCTCCCTCACCCTTTAATGAAAATCACTGAATTTCTTGGGATAGGAGAAATACAGTAGTCACAACCTCTGTAATAGGTAATCTTTTTCTGAGACCCAGCTGTCAGCTGAAATCATGATGTCTTTTGTGTGTAAATAAAATGAGCTCCAACTCTCTAGTTCATGTTTTTTGGGGATCCCAGAGGCAGTGCCCAGATTGCTGGGCAGGCTTCACCTCTGCCCTCAGGAAATATCTAGAGGGTCTAGGACTTTAAACACCTCTGTCAGCTCTGTCTGGAGGCTCCTGTACACAATGAATTCTTGACTCCCTTGGCATCATATACTGTAACACTTATTCCCTTCTGCCAGGATGAGCCAGAGGAATAGCTCAGCCCTCCCCCTTGGTTTCCCCAAACACCACACACAGGTCTGTGTCTAGCAGATGTGAGTGCATATCTGGGTACTCCAGCAGAGAGAGTTCACAGAAGAGCTGTGCAAACCCATGTCAACTTGAATTGTAGGCATCACAGTTTGACCCCCTCTCTTCCTGAAGTCTCCTTCCAGCTCTGCCTGCGGGGTCTCCTCTCCTGGGCTTCCCCATCCACCCCTATGCTCTCCCCTTTATTGCACAGGCCCCCTAACTTATCCCCAGCTTCTAGCTACGTTCTACTTCTCCACAGATGCAGCAGGCTTGAGAAAAGAGTATCATCCATCCCAGGATCATATTTGCCCTTCTTCAAAGTGACTTCCATCAGCCACCTGCCTTGGAGTCACAGCTTTAACTGTTCCCAAGAACTGGCAGAGCCTTATTAGTTCTTTTGTTGTTTTTTGAGAGGGTGGTGGCGTTTGTGGGTTTTTTTTTTAATCCTTCTCTCATCCCACCAACTCTGTGGAAGGGAACATGGAAAATATTTATTTTCTTTCTCATATAAATTGCATCACTCTCTTGAGGGGTCAGGAATAGCTTAATCATTTTTGGTTTTAATAACTTTTTCCCTCTGAGATTCAATTCCTTAAACCCAATTTTCCTCGTATCAACTGCTCTTTTTGGGGGGAGGGAAATCACTGAATGCTGATTAGGCTTTGTTTTCTCATTGGCAAAATGGAAAGATGGGCGTAGGTATCTCCGAGGCTCCTTATTTGTTTGAAAGTATGTAATTCTTTGACTATAATTATTTAGATTTATTTTTAGTTTAGCAGTTATGTTTCCAGTTAATAAAATAGGTCTACATCATCTATTTTTTTTATTTTGAAGTGAAATGGTGAATCAAAACGCTAATAACATTTTTATTCTCTTTTCCCTAATTAGTTGATTCTCTAAGGAAGGGTCTCTTTTAGAATCACACATTCTTAGTTTGCAACTTAAATGTATCACTTATAGGTGTTTATTTGAGATACATTATCTAATCTTTCTGACCTTCACTTTTTAAGAATGTAAAAGAGAATGGTAATGACAACTATCTCATCAAGTTACTGTGCGGAATCAGTGAGATGATTTATGCGAAAATAATTTGTAAATTATAAGTCATCATCAAATGTTAATTCATTTGAAAGGACAAAACAACTAGAAACTGAGAAAGAAGAGGAGAGATATGTTCTGAAGCATGATTGGCATCTCTTAGTAATAGAAGAAAACGATTCAAATTGCCACAAAATGATGATTGGTCATGCACCTTCCTCCTGTCTCAATCATTGGCAATGCATTTCCTCATGGGCTGGCGTTGGTTTGTTCAATTGACATGTACTTCACTGCGCACAACTGCCCACTTAAGAAAATGTATTGGTATCGAGAAATCTGGAGAAAGATCACAGATACATTGATTTCTTTTCACTCTGTAAAGCCAGCCCTATCAAGAAGTAAAGATCCAGCCACTATAGAGTTGCCACATTGTTTCCTATGTCATGCATATCTTTATTTGGTCCTTCAACCACTAAATTTCACAAAATTTTAAACTGAAAAACACCAAGTGTCAAAGACAGCTGCTGGAGAAAGAAGTAGAGTTAGAAAGTCTTGCCTCAATGCAAGACGACCTTGCCCAGCCCCTGAGTGGTTCCTGTTGCTGACGTCCTGTCCCACTGCTCAAAGTGATGACGGTGACTTTCCCTTTCTCTCCGTAAGTCCTTAAGTGGCTTTGACCCTTGCTTGAGTACCATTCACTATTGCACACTTCCAACAGCCTTGCCTATTGAAGCTCCCACCGGTTGTCTCAAGTTATCACTATTCTTGTGCCAAACCCTTTTGCCTTCACTCTAGTCTGTTCTGAAACTATTTGCTCTTTTTCTTGACTAATAGCCTCCAGGACTCTGGAATTCACACTTCACACATAATCAGACACTTGGTTACTCCTGCTTTCTTTTTCTGATACATACATCTTAACTTCCTCTTCAGTGATTTCTCTTTCACTTATACAGGCATTTTACTCTCTCCAATTAAAACAAACAATAAACAAAATTAAAGTATACTGTTTCCCTTGGCGTTTCTTCATCACCCAGGATAAGCTTTTTCTTTCTTCAACTTGTCTCTTCCCTTCTTCAGAATCTCCATTCTGGAATCTTCCCTGAGTCAATTTGCATCTTCTAAAAAGCCAACTATGAGACACAATTAAAGGTGCCAAAGATTTGTTGGGAGATGGTTGTGATGAACAAAAGGGGAGAGGAAGCAGAAGTAAGGAGGAGCCTGTCACCTCCAAAGGGTGAAAAGGAAGGAAGGCAGATTGTATAGAAAAACCCTTAGTTTGGCATGACATTTGAGAAAACCTCATCCATACCAAAGGAGCACCCGGAATAAAGAAGGTGCATTAGGGGAGTTCCAGGTCTGGGTAGACTGGCCCAGCTCTACAGCCCACAGTGCCGGCATGGTTCTCTCCAAGAGAGCCTGAACACCACAGCATATTGGCCTCACAGGAACCAGTCACTCTAGTGAAGTCACTTTCTCAACGCTTATAATTGACTATTACCCTTTCTCTATATTTGCAACTTTTGTTGAGCTACTTCTTATGGATTGGCAAAACTTATGATTCTCCAGAAGTATGCCCCACCACCAACTCTCAATACAGAGTCTATAAAATATTGCAGCCAGCGATATCCACATCACTTGGCCTATATGGTTACCGTCAATTTGCAGGTTTATTCTCTCACCAGCAGGGTACAGAGCTGCCTGAATAGCTGCAGGAATTGCCATCCAGTATTAGTTTGTAAACATGCAAAAGGTATGTTACAATTCTGAGACCTTAAAACCTACACTTAGTGCTAATTTTTTGCATGCTTAGTATGTGTGTCAGACACTGCTCTGTTTTTAAAAAATCTGTATCATTACTCTTTGAGGTAGATTCTATTAGTATTGACATTTAATAGAAAGTGATATTGAGGCTAAGAGAGGTTAAATAAATCCTTCAAGACCACAGGGCTAGGAAGTGGTTCAACCAGGATACAAGCCCATTGATCCTCATAGCCCACATAACTCATATATTTTGCTATACCATTAATATTCAAAACACTTCTCTATAAAACGGTTAACCGTAAAATGTTGACCTAATGTCTACTTTAGAGCATATGCATCATGCAGCAATATTTTTTTTCTGTCTTTCAGGTCCCTGCATTCCTAATCCATGCCATAATGGAGGAACCTGTGAAATAAGTGAAGCGTATCGCGGGGACACTTTCATAGGCTATGTTTGTAAATGTCCCCGAGGATTTAATGGGATTCATTGTCAGCACAGTAAGTTATCCATGGTCATTGTGCTTTTATTGTTATTGATTGCAAAGTATACAAGTCATTATCATTTTTGTTTGGAGTGGAATAATAGGATCTCTGAGCTGCAAAGAGCCCTGGCAGTTGGCTAACGCTGCTTCTTGCACACTGAATACACCACCTCCCCAGGCAAGGACTCCTAGACTGTGTTCTGTCCTCTCTGTGGCATGGGGACTGTCAGTCTTTTGTTGCCCTTTTCATTATTGTTCAGCCACACATGCAAAATGTAGCTCTTTCTATTAAACGGATACCTGTCTCTTTCTTCTATACTTGTCATGAAGCTACATTCTTCAAGATTTCCAGATATAATTTTGTAGACTAGCTTCAGAGATGATACCCAGAAAATAAAACACCCTCCCTCCCCCTGCTCTATCTATAAGCCAGTTTCCTCCTTCTTAACATGTTGGCATTTTTGCATGAAAATCTTTGAAAGTTCAACAAGTGTGGTATTTGCACTTTTCTCCTTTATCCCCATTCTTATTTATCCTGGGAAGTTAAACAAAATATATCCACTTGTGATGATTTCTTCTCAGAAGTAAAGCTCAACATAAATGCCAAATGAGCCAGGTGGGCCCTTAACTGCTGCAGGGGTTCAGCAAGCAGGGCGGCCACACTGGCCTGTCAGGGAGGCTCTCACAGGGGCTGCGGCCTGTGAGCCGAGTCGTGATGGGGGATAAGATGTTGGTCAGAGGGAGGAGAACAGGGGGATTCATGACACATGGCGGGACTCGTGGAGACAGGAGCCTGAATAGTGGTCATTAAGACCTTGGTGTTAGGAATGCCTAAGCCCAAGGTGGGTGTGTCAGTCGGAGCCAGATTTCCAACCACCAGTAAAAAATATAGTGTGTCTCCTGGCTCTGAGACTTTGGGGGCATTTTATACTTTTCTGGGGACTTGCCATCCCTGGGAGCTTGTGGAATTGCTGTGAAGCCCGTGAGAGGACAAGGGGCATTTGTGCTCCTTACAACCGGCATTTGTAATTGTCTCTGAGCTCAGGTCACCGAAGAGGAACTGAGAGCTACTGTGTTTCTCAGCCTGGGTCCCGACTTGCTGAGGCTGATTCTCCCCTGTGGTGGCATCATTGCTCAGCCTCCACACATGAATCCCTCAACACTTCCCCAGAGAGACAGAGCTGGGAGCCCAGAATCCTGGTCGCCCTTCATTCAGTTGATATTTACTCAATCCCATGAAGAGAATATCCCTAACTCACTTATTAACAAAACTACAAGGTATGTCAGAGCAGTGCCCAGAAGGAGACGGTCAGGCTACCCACCTTGAGCTCCTTAATTCAGAGCTGCCTGCATATGTACGGCACACACACTTACAGAAGATCCCTCCCTTGGAATTAGAACAGTGCTCAGAGGCAGGAATTGCACACAGAGGTCATACCCGCCCAACTTCCTCTTTTCTGTGCTGCAGGGCCTCAGGAGAGAGAGAGGGTAAAAGTACAGAGGCAGATTCTTACTGTTAGGAATCCTTAAAAAGGCAGTGTCTGGAATTCACGTGTAGATCCTAATGTCATGTAAAAATTTCATATTTATGAGCTACTTCACCCTAAACTACTGCTGATGTCAATGAGAATTTGGGGCTAGCCCTTAAACCAGAGGTTGGGAAACTCCAAATCTAAGTTCTAATTAATATCTGTACAACAACACAAAACTCTTCTCACGCCTCTGGGCTGTTTTCTTCATATTGTGAAGAAATGTTTTAGTTTCAGTTATCTCTAATAGCCTAGAAGTCCCATTGGAGACATCCAATCATCATGGGTGACATACACAGGTGGGGCGGGGTCCACCTGCCTCTGACTCCCACACATTGGCTGGACGTGAGCCCTTTCAAAAGAACCATCATGGCCAAAACCGGTTTGGCTCAGTGGATAGAGCATCGGCCTGCGGACTGAAAGGTCCCAGGTTCGATTCCGGTCAAGGGCATGTACCTGGGTTGCGGGCACATCCCCAGTGGGAGATGTGCAGGAGGCAGCTGATCGATGTTTCTCTCCCATCGATGTTTCTAACTATCTATCTCTCTCCCTTCCTCTCTGTAAAAAAAATCAATAAAATGTATTTAAAAAAAAAAAAAGAACCATCATGTTTGGAGAAATAGAACAAATCATTGTTGTCCCCATTCTATATAGCTGCGGTTCTCAACCTGTGGGCTCGACCCTTTGGGGGTCAAATGACCCTTTCACAGGGATCGCCTAAGACCATCGGAAAACACATATAACTACATATTGTTTTTGTGATTAATCACTATGCTTTAATTATGTTCAATTTGTAACAATGAAAATACATCCTGCATATCAGATATTTACATTATAATTCATAACAGTAGCAAAATTACAGTTATGAAGTAGCAATGAAAATAATTTTATGGTTGGGGGTCACCACAACATGAGGAACTGTATTAAAGGGTCGCGGCATTAGGAAGGTTGAGAACCACTGCTCTACAGTAGAATATCCACATCTTTCTCTCATAGATTACACTATCCTCAAATAAGCTCATTAATCCACATAAAATGTTGAATTTCAAGGCTTATTGTGAAGCACAAAGAAACCCCCGACAGCAGCTGATCTCCCACCAACTGTAAACTCATGTTAGGAATTTCAATGGAAAGCCCTAGGCTTTACTATTCAATTCAGAACTGGGATTTTGTGGTGTAAACAAGTTGATCCCTATTCTCTGAAGTGCATCACTATTAGAAGCAACAGAGAATGGAGGGAAAGAACTGGTTTTGGAATCAGAGACCTGGATTTGACACCTGACCTTTACAGTTATTGGATAAGTGACCTCAGGCCAATCACTTGGCCTTTCTGCAATTGAAGACATAGAAGTTGAGGAATTGAACTAGAAATAGATTATCTTTGTTTCACACCAGCTAGGAGAGTATTATGACTAAATGGGTAGCTTGCTTACTGTATAAAGGTTGTCAAGCCTTCCTCTTTATAGATTAAATTGAAAGAATTTAAAAGTCCTGGGAGCCCCGAGAGCTTTTCCAGGTAGGAGAAAACCAAAGCAGCTCTTTTAATGCTTTGCAAGAACTGGTAGGCATTTGGGTTTTTTCCCCCAGTGGTAATAGTTTTATGGCCCAGATATGTTCTAAAACCTTGATACTCAATGTGTGGTTATGCATTAGCAATGCCTGGAAACTTGTTAGAAGTGCACATTGTCAGGTGCCACCTTAAACCAACTAGAATGATCCCCAGTCGACACCCAAGCATATTGAAGTTTGAGAAATACTGCCCAAGGCTCTCAGTAGCTAAAAGTAATCATCTCATAAATTAAAGTAGCAACTTTACATTCAGTTACAGAATAGTAATTATAGGCAAAATATTTAGTGTGGCTTTTGCAAATCAAAACTTTATTGAAAATCAATGAAAATGAGAGATATACCACTAGAATATGACATTCCTTTTGAGAAAAGAATTTTAAAAATTCTTCAGACATTTACATATGGGGGAACTATTTAATTTAGTTCTATATGACAGGATGTGAATTAAATATCTTTGGTAATATTGCTAAGTAGTTAAAAAAATTTATGTTTCATGATACAGACATGACAAATACATAGTCAATACGTATACTTTACTGATTAATTTGTCAATATGTTGCAAATTAGGAAAAAAGGCTTTGGTACCAGCATTAATATTACCTATATATTCTTTTAAAAAATAGTAAATATTAGTTTTTAGAACGGTTTTTGGTTTATGGAAATATTGAACAGAGCATTATTATATATCTCTCCTCCTACATAGTTTCCCCTATTATTAACATCTTGTATTGATATGCTATATTTTTTATAATTGATAAAATAATGTTAATACATTATTACTCAATATTTTGGTTTATATTTTGGTTCACTGTTTATATTATAGAGTTATTTAGTTTTTTAAAAAAATACATAATATCATGTATCCACCCTAGCTTCATACAGAATAGTTTCACTGACCTTAATGCTCCACCTATTCATCCCTTCTCCCACCCCACCGCCTGGGCAACCACTGATTTTTTTTTTTTTACTATTTCTATAGTTTTCCTTTTCTAGAATGTCACATAGTTGGAATACTATTGTATGTAGTTGGAATCATATAGTGTGTAGACTTTTCAGACTAACTTTTTCACTTAGCAGTGGCATTTAAGGTTCTTCCGTGTCTTTTTATGACCTGGTAGCTTTAAAAAAACTGCTGCATAATATTTCATTTTATGGGTGCACCACAGTTTGTTTATTTATTCACCTATTTGAAGAACATTGTGTTGCTTTCATTTGGGGAATTTATGAATAAAGTTGCTACAAACATTCAGGTGCAGAATTTTTTTAGACCTATTTTCCACTCATCTGAATAAATATCTGGGAGTGTTACTGCTGGATCAATTGGTAAGAGTACATCTATTTTAATAAGAAACTTTAAACTGCCTTCCATAGTGGCTGTGTCATTTTGCATACTTATCAGAGGTAAATGAGAGTTCCTGTTGTCCTGTATTCTCAATAGCATGTTTTTGTCAGTGTTTTGGATTTTAGCCATTACATATACTTTTTTGTGGTAATGAGAATAGCATGAGGTTATAACTTTATTAGACTAATAATGAGTAATAATTGTTTTATATAGAATTACCAAATTATACATGTTCTTAAAATGCCATACAATAATATGAAACATGTAGTATGTATACGTATATAGACGTGTGTGTATGTGGGTGGGTGTAATTATAAAATGTAAATTACAGAATGAATTAAACACCAAAGTTGTCTAGAGTTTAGACTTTTGAAAGGCATTCCTAAGCAATCAGTTTTCTGTTGGGAGCCAAATATAATATGGCTAAGAGTAATAGTATTATATTTGTTGCCAGTAACAAATCTAATGCCTTAGGGAGGGACCATTTCTTTATTCCCAGAACTCTTTGCCCGTCTTACCAAGGAAGGCATTCTGAGCATTCTTCCCTACCTACACAGCTCGGCAGCCTTGGATTCC